ACCGTGGGTCTACCGAATGAAAGCCCAGAGTTGTACCCGTGTGACCTGCCGTTACTATAGCCTCATTTAGGAGCGTATATATCGAAGCGTTCCTGACCATATCAACGCGCCAGACTATTAGTTGTCCCAGCAGCACAATAGGTCCATGCTGATCCAAAGACAAACCAGATTTGAATACTTATTTCTGTGAAAGTTTGTGACGGCTGGCGAAATACTTAGTCCGGGGGAACCATATTGTTGTTAAAATGGTCGTGTTCGTGTTACAGTGTCAGCCATATTGCCTAAACATAAGTAAAACTGATTTTTTTTTAAAAATCTTTTATCTGGTTTCTAATTTTGAAGAGCGGTCAAGGGTCTCAGTAAAGAAAGTAGTTCAGAAACTGTGGGTATATATATCTATGTTTGCAGGGGCGGGAACAGACCTTTTGTCCCTTAAGCACGTGGTAAAAGGAGATAAACTAAGATTTTGTTGAAATCGAGAATGCTGAACCTAAAGGCATAGCTATTGCAGCCTAGCTGTGAACCACAAAGCAAAGTGCCAACCATTTATTTAGGGTCAATTAAGCTATTAAGTGAAACACACTCATATTGAAATAGCTAATCAAGTGTGCACACTTTCACAGCGGACATGATAAGCTGAGTTCAGTCAAGCTTTTCGAATCAAATGTCCTCTGAAAATTGCCTGAAACAACGTCTGCAAATATTGAGGCCATATTTCCTAATAAGACAGTGGAATTTATTGCAGACTCGGCATGACTTTGATCCAGGTCTAAATCTGCGAGGATTAGAGCACCACCATGTTGCAAAACCCATCTTGCTGGTCGCTAGCGGGAGAGACACAGAATGTCGATCTCGTACCGTTGCGCTGTACAGGTGCACTTCTTGATCTTCACTCGCATCAGGGTAGAAAGAATTCGAAAGTCGGACGTCACCCCCATTCAAATCTTTTTTTTTACATCCCTGGACATGCTGGAAGGGGGAATGTCATGAAAAAAAAAACTGGTAAGTTACACATTTATTCGTGTAGGGAGAAGCCCGCACACAACTGGAAAGTATACTGAGAGAAACGTCAGACACAATGGCGAAAGTCTTGCATTAGGCAAATTCTAATGTAAAATACTGACAAGATCAAAGCTTCTGTTCTGGAATAGAATGACAAGCTCTATAGATGAGATGGTCGATGTTAACAAAAGGCCAGCCAAAGGATCCAGCAGAAATTCCGAGTTTCCTGGGGAGTTTAGCCAGGTAGGAGGTGTTTACTGGCAGTGAAGCAACAAAAGTGTGTTGGGTATGAAAACTGGGTGTGAGGTTGGCACGGCCTGGAAAGAATGTCACGCCAGGAAAGCACAGAAAAACAGAACATCATAGAAATGGTACAATCAGTCGTTGTTACCAACGGAATTTGTTACCGGGGGAGTGTGTAGGCCTTTGAACTTTGCTCCAAAAGAGGATAATCCTTTCGTAATTGAAAACTAAAACAGTTAAATAAATTGTGAATACTCATAAATCAGGTGTTAAATCAGGGCTGGGTTCACATACGAGCGTTCGGGACCGCAACACTCACGCTCTGTGGCTTAGAATTAATTAAATCAGTCGAATCCTCGGTTGCACCAAGCGTCTATATATTCCGTTAGCTATGTCGATAAGAGGCTCGCTTTCAAATCCAACTGCGACTCGCTGCAGCCCACTGTCGGTGTTCGAAACCGGGCGGCTCCCGGGTGCGCGCGCGTGCGTGCGTGCGTGCGTGCGTGCGTGCGTGCGTGCGTGCGTGCGTGCGTGCGTGCGTGCGTGCGTGCGTGCGTGCGTGTGGAAAGTATTTTTAAAAATTTATTATAAATTTGGGAATAATATATAAACATAAGACAGTCCTCCTCCAGAAAGAAAGTTATAACCTGATTAGAGCAATGAGACGAAGACAGTCTGGTGTTTTTCCGACATGTTATGAGAAAGAATGGGCTCGAGAACTTGCTAACAACTGGCCAGATTACTGGATAAATATTTGGGTGGCCTGGCCAAATGGATTGGGTGAGGTAAGAACACTGACCTGATTCGTGATTCTGGCGATCGTGGGAGATGGCGAAACATGACAGCCTACGTTTACCAACATGGCGCGTGATGATGATGATGATAATAACGCTGTCAACAGCAATTGATTATTCAATATCAAGTTTGTGTAAATGTGTTTCTTACTTCGCTGAAAACGTTTATTCTTTTGATCTAACTGCATCTACTCTCTAAAAACTGCATTTTATCAAATGAAGAACATCTTGTGTAATATATCCTTGTCATTGAGAGTTAAAAAAAGAATTATTGCTTGCTACATAAATCCAGTTTTAACATATGGATGTGAATCCTGGACAATCGGTAGGCAGGACAAACAATTTCTTGAGGCCTCAGAGATGTGGTTTTACAGAAGAACGCGCAGAATACCTCGGACAGCCAAAAAGAGCAACCAAGAGGTTTTGAAAGAGGCGGGAGCCCGAAGACAACTTATCACAGACATCAGAAGGAGACAGTCATCATTTTTCGGCCATGTTATGAGAAGAGGGAAAATAGAACATGTTGTGACCACTGGAAAGATCTGTGGAAGGAGGGATATAGGAAGGCAACGAGAGAAGATTCTTGACAGTCTTGTTGCATGGCAGGGAGGTGTGTCGGCACACGAACTGATATATGCTGCAGGAGATCTTAGATTATGGAGAGGCATGATCGCCCACGCCAGTCGGCAAGGCAACTGATGATGGTGATGATGATGATGATGCATCTACTCTCATATGCGTATTAATATCATTAGGATTCTCTAATAGTGTGTTTTATTTCCCATGTGTGGCTGTTTATTTTAACACTATCTGTGGCTGTGAAAAACTGTCGGATATTTTTTAATTAGCAAGTGAAAACTGTGTTCCCGTATCGTTATCCTTATGTGTTTTTGTATCCCTGTTAAACTAATTGCATTTCTAATTCAATAGCCAAGTGAAATAGTTTTACCGCAGTAATGTCACAGTTAGCGGCGTCCGTGGCTAAGGCGTTGCGAGTCCGACTCGTAATCCAACGCACCGCGATCGAAACCCACTGCGGGCTGCGTGGATTTTTATCGTGGTATGGGACGTCGCAGGTCAACCCAGCCTCATATGGGTACCAGGATAGGCTGTCCTGGGAAGTAAAGACGGCCGTCGTAATGCTGACCACATTACCCACCGAGTGCCGATTGGTCTGTAAAAATATGGGTGCTCTTTATATGCCCGATGCGCCTGAGGGCGTGTAAAGTGATCTTTACTTTGTTGCAGTTGCCTGCTAATTTGTTTATATTTTACTAACGCTACCTCCGCTATTCTCATTTTTGTAACGACTTATTTGGTTATTTACAAGTACAGTAGTAAGCTTTACTTCCGTCTCTTAAAAAAATACAGCTTTAGCAAGTGATAACCAAATAACCATTTTTTACTGTGCTAATAATACCATTTAAACGACCACTAATATAAAGGCGCAGTTATATGTTGCGTGTTCTAAAGTGGCAAACCAGACTATCTCTGTATCTGTGCAGAGAATGATTGCGACATTAACTATATTAGAAACGTTCGATTTCTATTGTCTTTCTTTTCCAGAAGCCTTTGATGAAGGAGCGATTAGTAGGTGGATTTTGGAGGTGGGGGGGGGGGTGGCATCGAAGACTATCTCTGTATGTGCGCAGACAATGATTGCGACAGTAACCATATTAGACACGTGCGATTTCTATTTTCTTTCTTTTCCATTTAGCCAATCTATGCCACAGCAACGCGTGGCCGGGTACAGCTAGCATACTATAATTTTTATATCAATGCACTATTACAATATACTATAGTTCTTTTGTCAATGCACTACTACAATATACTATAATTTTCTTGTCAATGCACTTTTACAATATACTAAAATTTTCTTCTCAATGCACTATTACAATATACTATAATTTTATTGTCAATGCACTATTACAATATACTATAATTTTCTTGTCAACGCACTATTACAATATACTATACTTTTCTTGTCAATGCACTATAATTTTCTTGGCAACGCACGTTCTTCTTCTTCTTTTTTCTACTACTACTTCGACTACTACTACTACTACTACTACCACTACTACTACTACTACTACTACTACTACTACTACTACTACTACTACTACTACTACTACTACTACTACTACTTCTTCTTTTTCTTCTTCTTCTTCTGCTTCCTCGTTTTATTCTCTTTTTATTCTTTTTCCTAATATGGCGGCTGGTTTGTTGTATTTACAGCTAGGCTGTGATATCTGCGTCTTTCATCTTAACACATCCAATTTCAGTAAACTCTTAATTAGCTGGCTTTAACGACACCTTGTTAAAATGCCGCGCTTCTATTCTGTCTTCTTTCAAAATATATAATACAAAATGTTTAATATGATTTAAGTGAGGCGCAATATGACACAATAACTTCTAAGACTTGTTTGATAGTGCGCTTGACAAAATCATTATAACCTGTATAACACTTAACAAAATCACTATAACTTGTACGATAACACTTTAAAAAATCACAATAACGTGTATGCTAACGCAACAAAATCACAATAACGTGTATGATAACACACTAAACAAAATCACAATAACGTGTATGATAACAAACTTAACAAAATCACTATTTCGTGTATGGTAACACACGTAACAAAATCACAAAAACGTGTATGATAACACACTTAACAAAAGCATTATAACACGTAAGATAACGCTCTTAAGAAAATCACAACAACGTGTATGATTACACACTTAACAAAATCACAACAACGTGCTTAACAAAATCACTATAACCAGCATGATAACGCAATATCACTTGTCTGAGAACACCACCACACAAACACCTCGAATGTACCTCTGCCATTTCTCACATCCCCAGACTGTAAAGAAGTCTACGACGCCGGTCACAACCACAGCGACGTCTACTACATCAAGCCCCTCTACACCGCCTGCCCCATCCCCGTCTGGTGTGACATGGACACCCCCAAGGGCGGCTGGCTTGTGCTCCAACGGCGGCGCGACGGTTCCGTGGACTTTAACAGACTGTGGAACCAGTACCGGTCAGGCTTTGGTGACGTCAGCGGCGAGCACTGGCTGGGCAATGACAACATTTTTCTGCTGACCAACCAGGAGCGATATCAACTGCGTGTGGATCTCTGGGATTTTTCGGGGAATCGAGTTCATGCAATATATTCCGATTTCAAAATTGACGGTAAGTCCATTCACACACACAATCCTTCTTATAGTCCATGATGTATAGAGTTAGTAATCATTTCTGCCCACTGCCAGCTGTCTCCTGCACCATGCTTGCCTTCTTGTTAACAGTGGAAAATTTGACATTGTGACAAGCGAATGTATATATCTTTTTGAATAAGTTACTTCTGCTCAGCCTCGTATTAGAGCCAAATGAAGGTAGATATGTGGCGCTTTATTAATATCCTACCTACGATGACGTCACAGGACAGTCCAACATTTTAGAGGGTGGTAGGACCGGGTTTCCCGACTTTCTAATGCTTTTAATGACCTCAAAACATCTAGAACTGGCCCTAACCCCAACCCACCTACGTCCCACGAGACAGTGCAGCCTAGGTCCCACGACTGCATGCAGCCTATCTACCGCCCCCTGAAATATTAGACTGTCCTGTGACCTGTGGATTTCCCCTGTTCGGGGTAGGGTATTATTAAAGCACCAGATTGTATCAAGAATCTTATTCTCGTAGCCCTGTGCCTTGAGGTGTTAGTAATCATGCTCTCCACGGCCTTCTGTCTTGTGTACTGTCAATCATGTCTGCTACATATATTCTTTCAAGCCATGACGTCAAAGAATCCAACATTTTTTTCCCTCCCTTTAGATTTCTTCCCCTTCTATGTCCCCGTTGTCACAACACATTCCGTGTACAGTGTTAGGTTACGTATTACAATCACGGTCATTTCACGTTGGGCATCCCCAAAGATATTCAGTCTTCCGATGCAGCAGCCAGCCTAAAGTACCTGTTCCCCCGAGAAGCTGGTTACAGCATCTCCTGTCTCGACCTCGACTAGAGAGGGATTAGAGTTTATACAGACGGTTCAGATAAGAGGACAATCTGAGACAGAGGAAGAGTAATTTACACAGAATGCTCACATGGTTTTAAAGCTGAACAATAATACCCACAGGTTTACATTTCCCCAACTACTGAGCAGAGGCAGGTGTACTGTTGGTGGTATATTCCTTCCTGAATAAACAATATCGCAGTATATATAACAGAGTGGTCTTTCTAACTGATGCAAAATCGGTTTTACAATCAGTTGTTAACCCAGATACGTTTGCGATAAGTTTGTGGACTTGGTGTAGCAGCTGACTCACTTAAGCTCTTTAGTAGTCTTTAGGGCAACAATCTGTCCTGCAGAGAATTCCAGGCTACTGTGGCTCAGAAGGCAATAATGCAAGTGCAGGCAGACTGACCAGAAGCGGCAGCTACATGATGCAACCAAAATGTGACTTAACATACAAACAGATTAAGACATTTATAAATACTAATATCCATGAAAGGTGGCTGGATACCCACACCATCTTTATTTTCTCCCAAGACTCACTTCATCATCTCTCTAGAAACGGACAATGTGTCATATTCATACTTAGAACAGGGCACAACAAACTTTGCCAACATATATGTTACAATTTTTCTATGTATGAAACACGCATATGTATTCCTGCAACTGAAAATGCAGAGCGTGTGCTCCAACACTGTAAAGTGAATGTTCTTAACATAAATTCCAACCCCAGTGAAGACAAATCTCTATGGTACACGGGGTTGGGTTGGGGGGGGGGGGGGGTGGCTAGCATGCCACACTGCAGTGGCGTCAAGGAGTACATATAGGTATGTAAACAGGGATTTATTTTAGCCACTATACATTGTTATTTCCTGTTTGACTAACATCAGAACCGTGGCTCATGAAGTCACCGTGATAACTTCAGACAGCAAATCCGGAACTATATATAAAATATACACATACAGATGTGTGTGTTTGACAGGGTGTATGTGACAGTGTGTGAGTGGCAGTGTGTGTCTGTGCGAGCGAGCGCGTGAGACAATGTGATGTGTGTGAGGAATTGTGTGTGTAGGAGTGCATGGAAGTATGTGTAAGAGTGTGTGAGAGTGTAAGAGCGAGTGTGAGTGTAAGAGCGTGTGTGTATAAGAGAGTGGGGTACGTAAGATGGTATTCAAGTGTGTGTTTGTGAGAGTATAAATAAGTGTGTGAATGTGCACATGTTTGTGGTGTGAGAGTGTGCATGTCTGTAGGAGCTGAGTGTATGTGTCATTCCGAGCGAGACTAAACGTGTATGAGAGTGAGTGAATGAGTGTGTGTGTGTGTGCGCGCGCGCGCGCGTGCGTGCGTGCGTGTGTGTGGGTTTGTGAAATTATATGTGCATCAGAACCATCAACATCACAAAGAGAGCAGACGAATACGTTTCTACAAAAGAAATTGGGACAATCCAAGATACTTCTTAGAATCCCCAGATATTTCCAACTGCTAATTTAATACATGACATTAATATCTCTCGTATAATGCACACACCCAGCAATTAAAATACCCTAGCCACTGGAGTACAAACATTGTAGATTTCCCCAGGTAAATATGTTAATGATCAGATTTATACTCCATGTGCTGCTCACGAATAAGCAAGGAACAGATTAATGACGAATGCTGGAGGTTCGCTGCATTTCAATTTGCTTCCAAATTATAAAACTTAAGGACATACAGCATGGTCTTCATTTTCTTCTTCGCGTTAACCAGCTGTAAACTCCAGAGGATTTTATGTCCAGGAAATTCGGGTGTGCCGGATGATGAGCAAGCTGATAGACCAGCTGCCGCCACTCCTAAGGGTGGTGAGCTATGTTATGATAAAGCGGAAGCAGTGAAGGCTCTCTGGGATCAGGTGGGCAGTGCAACAGAATAGACTTCGTATCCAAACACTGACAGAGTGATTCAGCGAGGGGTGAGCAGAGGTTCTGGAAGATAATCAACACTGCGGGGAAAACATCGATGGACTTTTAAATCAGGTAGCAACTGGTGCTATTAGCATGTCGACTCTTCGTTGGCCATCGAAGAAGGAGACTGAGCACGTGTGGGAATGTCCTGAGTGCAGGGATGTCAATTCTTAATTCACTCATTCATTCCTTTAAACTCCAGCAGAAAGTTCCCTTTGTTAGTCCACTTCTAGACTTTACTTTTTTTCAGAACGCGAGTGTTGCGTGCGCATCCGTTTTACATATCTGAATTTTTTTTTCTGAATGCAGACTGTTGGTTCCCTGTCTCTCTTGCAGATGCACTTAAATTCCGAAGGAAGCCTCCAATTAGTCAACTTTTACGACATGCTTGTTAGGGGGGGGGGGCAATGGCTCTATTCTTGTTTTCGCCACAATAAGGCCGTAGAACCAGCATGGGGCAACAGGACGATGATGATGATGGCTCGTTGTCTCTCCACAGAACGGCTGCTGGACTGCTGGCAGTGTAAGCATAAAAACCGCGCAACTACACCAGCTACCTCCATGTTATTATTAGATGTTTCGTCCTTTTTACGACGAATTTTTTTTTTTTTTTTTGTTATTTCAAGCCCCACCCTGGCTTTTGCCAGGGGCCGCAATAAAGACAGGCCATAAATATGGCCAATTGTCTGAACGCGGTTTCTGGGACCTCTCCACGGCGATCCTCATCCACATGGTGGCACTTTGTGTCATCGGGTGTTTATCGCTTGTGTGATGTCCTGGTGGGGTAGAAAGTCAGTCAGTCAGTCAGTCGGCTACCTCGATTACCAGCACGATGTCCTAAACAATACAATCATCACTTAAATGGCGAAGTCCAAAACTAACTCACGCCCTTCATAATTTCATGCAAAAAGACTTAACCACTTTGCTAAGAAGACATACGCATTTTTGTGTGTGCCAGTGTGTGAGAGAGATAGAGTATGTGTGAGAGATACAGAGAGTGTCGGTGAGAGAGAGAGAGAGTTAGACAGACAGAGAGATAGAAAGGGTGAGAGAGAGAGAGAGAGAGAGAGTTGTGTGGGATCGAGATAGAGTGTGTGAATGTGTGTGTGAGAGAGAGAGAGAGAGAGAGAGAGAGAGAGAGAGAGAGAGAGAGAGAGAGAGAGAGAGTTAATTGTGTGAGAGACGTAAAATAGGCAGAAAGGAAAGAATTCACAAAGAGATGGATGTAACCTGTTTAGTTTGGTAAGTTAATCCTGACAGAACATTAAATCATGTGGCATCAATGTCCAACATACCTTCATCCAGTTTTACTATTATAACATTTTCATTTAAAAACTTTTTTTTTCAATGTATTTTATTTCATATTATTAGTTTATTCTATTTCTTATCAGTACCATTTATGAATCATTACCACGTGTATTTCTAATACTTTTTAATTCCCACTATTATTTTATACATTAACAATAGCACTTATGATTCTCTGCGTCTATTTTTTAGCCTTCGTTTATTTTATTTTGCTTTATTCACCCCAAATAATGTTTTTTAAGTTGCTTACATCACCACTTAGAGATTTGAATCCTTACATCTTTGTTACCGTTGTGTAGTTCATTTCTTGTTCGAGAAAGGCCACCGGCCGAAACGTTGTTTTGTTTTGTGCACGTATTTCTGCTTCCCCGTTTCGTTAGGCTTTTTAGTCACATTTCACTGGGAGTTCTTCCGTCAGTATGAACCAAATTATCAGTCAAAAACCCAACCTACGACTTTCAGAATACAAGATATAAGGCGGAGATCACAGACAGACAGACAGACAGACAGACAGACAGACAGACAGACAGACAGACAGACAGACAGACAGACAGACAGACAGACAGACAGACAGACAGACAGACAGACAGACAGACAGACAGACAGACAGACAGACAGACAGACAGACAGACAGACAGACAGACAGACAGACAGACAGAGGGGTGACCAAACACATTCATGTGTTGACTGTTTTATCAGTTCACAATTCCCAACTTTCCCCTTTAATTAAAAAAAAAAAACTCTCGCCTGTCGGGTTGAATGTGCTGGATTCAAACCTGCTCCAAACGAGATTTTCTTTATTATTTAATTATAATAATAATTGGCTGTGGCTTCTGGTCAACACAATTTAAGAATGAATATAAGTTTGTCTTTCCTCGTGGTCCTAGGGCGGCCCATAAGGCGGAGGTCATAGCTTTCCATATCTGGCGATACGTTTCCATGCGCTTAGGTCTTGGATGTTTGTTGGGGCCATGGTTGAGCCTTCTCTGATTATGGTTCTACGTAGAATTTCTATTGGTCTTCCTCGTATTCTTTTCCCTTACGTTATCCATATAAGGGCTTGATCGGAGAGTCTTGTCTTATCCATTCCAAGTGCATGGCCGATGTAGTTCCAGTGGCGCTTTCTTAGAAAACTGGATATATTATATTGCTTGGTCTCTTGTCTTATCTGCGAGAATGTAAGTAAAGCAGCCTTTTTTATCGACGGTGGTGTATCAAGCATCGGATGCGTCAATGGTTAGATAAGCAGTTTCCAGATGCTTAGATACGTCAGCGTGGTCCTACAGAGTCGCTTTCCAGATTCCCAGATCTCACCCCACTTGATTGTTATCTTGGGGGAAAAGGGGGGGGGGGGTCAAGGCCTAGGTATATCAGGAGTCGATATAAAACATAAACCATCGCAAGGAACGTATCACCAACGTTGTTACAAGCAACCTCTGACGTATGTTTTGGTCTCCTGTTAATGGATATATTTATGAGACGCCCGGTGGTAATTACGACAACAACAGTGATTATATTTAGTTATATAATATATTTGCATACACAGTGCAGACCGCTTAAGGCAATCTCGGATGTGGCAAATTTCTGTTGTGAAGAACAATTTGTTTTTTCGCGGCAGTATTTCTTGCTAGAAGAACTCTTTTCCCAATAAAAGAAATTTCTTATAATAAGAACTATTTCTAGGTCCTTGGTGAGTCGCCTTATCATGTCTGCATTGTAAAATAACACATACATAATAATACATTTGCATCATACTAATTCGTTCTGTATTTCGATGTTCTCTCTCCATGCACCACTGAACGCCCAAACCACGCCCACTACTTCCTCGACGACCACGGCGCCGAACAACAATACTCCAGGCGAGAGAGACGGCTACAAACTCCACATCTCTGGCTACACCGGCAGCGCCCACGACTCCCTCCACCGGCACAACAACAGAATGTTCTCCACGCCGGACCGCGACAACGACGTCCGGCGGGAGGCGAACTGCGCCCACGAGTGGGAGGCCGGCTGGTGGTTCGACCACTGCTGGTACGCCCTGCTCAACGGACCTTACCAGAACCACAGCGACGTGTCCTGGAGGGGCTTGGCATGGAATGCTTGGAAGAGGGAGCAGCTCAAAGCTTCGGAAATGAAGATCAGACCTTTGAATGATCCAGTTGCGCCAGATAGGCTGTAACTGTTAGTCTGCTATTTATATTATTGTATATATGAGCCGAGCCACAACTGAATGAAAGGTTCTTTTATAGCTTTATATGGGAACAGAGCTGAGTGGGTAAATGCTTTCAACGAAAATATGAAAACCGGAAGTTAATTTTGCAAGCTTTAAATAAGCAATATTAAAACTTAATTGGGGTTTATTTTTTACGGATTTTTTTTTGGGGGGGGGGGGCGGGGGGGGGGGGAATATATAAACCCGATTATTACTAGCTTTCAAGTGGCAGTATAAAAAACAGATTTCAGGTGCATCTTAAAAGCTTTAAATGACATTGACGTTTATGTACCACACAGAGATGACAGTCAATGCCGTCACTCAGTTCTATCCTGTCAAATATTTTGTATATCCAGGATGGAATCCAGTCCAGCGCCATTGACTTCCCTCATCAACATTCATTTCGGGGTTTCTTGCAAACTTATTCGTTGCCCCAGACCAGCTGTTTCTTACTTCTGTGCCTGATTGGCGATTCTTTGTCCACTTCAGAAGCTCAGAACGTGCCCAATATATCGCCATCTGCATAGCCATTTGACTGCTGAAAAAAGCATTGATCCATACATTTCTCTTATTTCTTTGATTCTTGAATCCCTCCTGTTTAACGTTCATATGTTTCCCCATGCATTAAAGCTTTAAATACGAAAACAAAAAACCCACTGGTGTCAGTTTTACAAGCTTTGAATTAATAATACAAGCACCAACTGAAGATTTAGGTTAACAAGCATTAGATGGATAATATAAAAGACTGACCGAAAATTAATTGTATATGCTTTAAACATTATGAATACAAAGTGAAGATTAATGTTATATGTTAAGCAGGAACAATATAACGAGAGTTCGGTGTTTTGATGCGTTAAATGCGCAATTAAACAAACAAAAAGCTGACTGTAGGTTCTTTTATCACGCTTTACAATTCAATTTTGTGTGTGTGTGAGTGCAAATGTTAAACAAGTAATATGTAACCTACAAGAAAGTAACGTTACATGCTTAGTTACACATGTTTTATACTGGCAACAGAAGTAAAGCAGCACAATGACTGTCTCGGCTGACCTATAATCAGATTACTGGAATCTGTGTTTTCTTTAACTGAAACGGGCTCCAATGTCAATGCAGCCTGAAATGAGCACCAGGAAATGTTCCAGGAAGTAAACGCGATGACACGACATTTGTCACGTCACGTCATTGCGTGCCAGTTGGTTAAAATAATTAAGTTTGCAAGACATATCCTTCTTTTATTCTTAGCGTTCACCGGTTGTAAATTCTGGCAGAAAGTTCTAGTTGTTTATCCTTTTCTCGACTTGTCTTTTTCCAGAACCTGAGTTTTCCATGCACATCCATTTTACATTTCTGGCTTATTTGTGAGCAGGTTGTTGGTTCCTGACCTCTCAGGCAGATGCCCTCCGATTTAAAAAAAAAAAAAAGTACTGCTAATTAGCAACCTTTAACTGCAGAATCGTAGGGGGCAGTGGGGCTATTCGTTTGCCCCAAATGTGGGAGCTTTGAACCCTGACAGGAGATACATTATATCCAATGTGACCCAAAGCATAGGAAAGGCTCTATTATTATTATACACTCAGATAGTAACGACCAATATTTTCTTTTCCTTGCCAACTGTTTACGCAAAATGTATTTAATTTACTGACAATATAACTCATTATGTATTGTACACATCACAACTTTCTAGATAATCTCTGTCCACATCTTTGATCTCATATTAAATGAGGAACAATGACATGGGCGCCTTGCCTCCATCAGGCTTTCCCTATTCGCATAGACATTTATTGTTTTATCTGCATGAAAAACATCCTGGGATCCGTCTCTTCACCGTCTGAAACTATAACTATCTGAACCCAGTGACTACTATTGTTCCTTTCAACTGCACAAATTCCATACACACAACACACATGTGTATCTAAATGAACACCGCGATTTTTTCCCACAACTACAAATATTATAACAATTCACAGTTTGTAACGCACATTGTTAACGCCCTTTATTTTAACGGCTTACTGCAAATATTCTTATTTTAGTGAATGAGTTTCTTAAATACAAAACTAGCATTACAAATTCAACATGTGCACGATTTCACGTGTCTATCTTTATTATTCATTTTTTTTTAAAGAATTTTTAAATATGTGGTGCTTTATTTTTTGAATGCTCCTCGTACTTATATAATATGAAAACTGATATAGGGTAAATTTACAGGCAAGTGTTGCCAAAGATGGCGTGTAGTGTTTTATATTGTTCTGTATGTTTTACCGTTCACACTGACTGCATAACATCAGGGCTGGCTGGAAGTGTTTGATGTGTGCTATAAGAATAATTAAAACCAAAGATATCTGACACGTTATAAATGGACAAAACATAAGCCGTGTGAGAGGATCTGCAATGATTTGGACAAACAATATTAAGGATGTTTAAAATGATGAGAATAGAGAATACACAAGTTTTGGAAATATTTTCAATGATGTGTACAAATAATACCAAACCTTGTGGAGATGTTTTAAATGATGTGTTTTAAGAATTTCACAGATTACTGGTTGTTTGGCGGTTGGGGGGGGGGGGGGGGGTAAATGTGTACGTACAATACTAATGCTTGCAGGAGATGCTTTCAATTTGAACAGCAAAAACCAAAGCGTACTACTGATGTTTTAAACCATTTGGACAGATAATATGAAAGCTTACTGGAGATGTTTTGTACAATTTGGACAGACGATATGAAAGCTTACTGGAGATTTTTTTAATATATGAAAGCTTACCAGGAATCTTTCCAATGGTTTGTGCAGAAAATAAACACCTGATTGTGAATGGTGTAAATGATTTGTACAGGGGATACCGAAACTCACTGATGTTATATACGGTTTGTATGAACAATACCAAAACTTTCTGTGGATGTCTGTACAGAATATACCAAAGCTTACTGATGTTATATACGGTTTGTATGAACAATACCAAAACTAACTGTGGATGTCTGTACAGAATATACCAAAGCTTACTGATGTTATATACGGTTTGTATGAACAATACCAAAACTAACTGTGGATGTCTGTACAGAATATACCAAAGCTTACTGAGAGAAGGTGTGCATTATGTACACGGGATAAAGAAGCTTTAAAATGATATGTAGAAGCAATCGTAAAGCTACACAAGTTTGGAGTGTTTTATATGAAGAACAACAAAGCTAGCTGGGGTTTTTTAATGTGGACAATACCAAAGCTAAGAGGAGATACCAACACTGGCTGAGAATTTTTTATTTTTTATGTGGACAATACCAAAGCTAAGAGGAGATACCAACACTGGCTGAGAGTTTTTTCATCTTTTATGTAGACAATACCAAAGCTAACTGAAATGGTGGGTACTCTGTATGTGTGTGTGTGTGTGCGTGCATGCATGTGTGCATTTGTGTGTGTGTGCACGCATGTGTGTGTAAATAGGCACGCTGTATTCATTCTGTTATTAGTATGTTTTTAGATGTCAAAATGCACAACAACGATAAGCCTCTACTTCTTATGGTTTCCAACTGCTGAACACATTTTTTACATCATAGGCAACCTATTTTTGCCCTTATCTAAAAGGTTTCAACACGTGATACCTACCCTGAGATCAGCAGGTCTCTATGGTAGAGGAAAGTCGTTAAAACAACATTATCAAGTGAACTGAAACCAGGTACCTATGCAGTTAAAATGAGGGTCAACATAGCCCTAGGGAGCTGCAGTGCCACAGTCAGTGGCCGATTGCTTGCCTGCCTGCCTGCAAGAGGTCTTAAGTTTGAATCCATAGTGAGGCAGATTTTTCATAAATGATCTACATGATTCATGGCTTTGAAATCGACCCAGCCTGAAACAGGTACCAGCAAATGTAATGGAAAGTAAAGACGGTTGGTGTGATGTTGACCACATCAGCCTTCAATCGAGTACTGATTGGTGTTTACAAATATGGGGCTAGCAGCATATGTCCAATGCTCCACTAGTGTGAAAGGGCACCTTTACTTGTTATTGTTTACTGAAGACTGCTCTCTGTTTATCCTAATGTGAATTACTTCCAAAAAGCTTACCACAATGGAATCCTTTGTCTCCTCCCCCTCCCCCACCCCCACTTTCTGGGCTCTTACATGGTGGTCACCCGTGCGACTTCAGGAGTTGTATCCTGGATGACAAACCAACAGCTGACAACCCAGAAATTCTGTTCAAGCTCCAGAGACCTTGCTTTTAGAACATCCAAGACAGTTGCATCAAATGGTGTACTCTGCTATCACCAGCGGTTAAGTGATGTTGAGTGGTATGTAATGCAAGTTTCTACTAATGCTTTCTTTGTCTGTAACATTATATGTTACTTTATCATATGTCCATGTAATAAAATAAACATTCTATATCAGATCCTGCCTGCTGCAACAGACTTGTGTTGTTGTTGTGTTACTAAATCCTTCACTGACTATCTATCTCTTCAAAGTACAGCTGCATCTGACAACCTCTGGCATCGGTGTAACAACATGATACCCAGTACTGAGAGGCAATGTTTTTAACAAACTTGTACAAGTTTAGTTTTTGGGTGTTTTTTTTTTCTCCAGGTTTTTTTCTCAGAATTTACCAGTCGATAACATGATTATATGATCTAAGAGTTAAGCCTGGTGAAGCTCGTCTATGCAGTCTTCCAGGTCAAGATAGGAGACACTAAAATCAGCTTCTTATAGGAACAATCATCAGGGGTAGCCTGAGGTGGCTGCTACATCTGAGGACTGAGCACACGTGTTAATGCCTAATGTGCACAAAAGTCTATTTGATAACATAGCATAATACTGGTTGTTTGTGGTTTCACTAAGCAAATGTGTGTTAAGTTATGTTGTTTTGTTATTATTATCACCATCACAGCACGATGGGCACCGTTATGTGTTCACAGTCCTCCGATGCAGCAGCCACCACAAGGTACCTCTTCTGTCTGTTCCCATTAGAAGTTGGCTACATTATTTC